CGGAAGGAGCGGTGCCCCGGCGCCCACTTTCAGCGCCCGCGCGCGGCCGCCATCACGGGCGAACTGGGAGTCGCCTCGCCTCGCTCGCCCTCCTCTTTTCCTTCACTCTTCTCCAGAAGGGGCGGGGGGCGATGGAGAGTAGGGCAGACGGGTGCAATTGGCACGAGGGCTGAGAGAAGCCTCGGCTTTCGAGGGGTCCCCGTGGGTTGACTACCTCGTGTTTGGGATCTCCACCGCGGGTTGCTGTTCGGTTGGGGGATCTGGGGCCGTCTCGTCCCTTCCCGAAGAGGCTCATGTTGTTCATCTGCGGTGCTGTGGCCACGCTTCGACTGCACTACGGCAGGTTCGCGTCATGTCGACCAGCGGCGATCCCACCGCCGGCGTTCAACGCTGAACTCCGCCGGCGACCTAGAATCGGTCGATGCTGAACGACCTGGCGTTTCGGAAACGGCCGATCGTTCAAGGTCGAACGATCCCCGCGCTGTCAGAGACCAGCGCCGCGGCACGAAACGGACCTGCCTTGAGGAGGGGAGGAGGGGGGGGGGGCGAGGGTGGAGGGGGAGAGTCTCTGCTCCTGTGCCTCCCCCTCTCCCTGAGAGTCGAGTCGGCCGCCAGACCTGTCCCCCCCAGAGTGTGTCCTAAGTAGGGTGTCGAGTCGGACCCCAGCCCGTGGGGATGGGGCACCACGGGAGGAGCAGCAGAGAATTCAGAGAGGATGCCTCTCCTCCTCCCCCTTCTCTTCCCTTCTCCCCATCCTTCCCTCCTCCCTCATTATCCCCCTTGCTCCTCCTTGCTCCTCCTCGCTCCTCCTCGCCCCTCCTCCTCCCCTCCTCCTCCTCTTCCTCACCCTCCTCCTCCTGGCTCCTCCTGCTCCTCCTCCTCCTCCTCCTCCTCATCGCTCCTCCTCCTCCTCCTCGCTCCTCGCTCCTCCTCCTTCTCCTCCTCCTCCTCCTCCGCCTCGCTCCTCCTTTCCGCCCTCCCTTCCCTGGCCCACCACAGCGGGGATCAGCCAACGAGTGGGCGAATCAGGGACCAGACTTCTTCCAGACAGGGTCCATTGGCACCAGCTGACAGCAGGCCTGACTCTCCTGACGACGCAGATTCCGCAACATTGTCCCGCCCTTCCCCTGCGCCGAACGTCCTCCTCCCCTCCCTCCTTCCCTGCTTTTCTGCTGCTGCTCCTCCTCCTCCTCCTCCTTGTCCTCCTGTTCTCCTCCTCCTCCTCCTCCTTCTCCTCCTCCTTCCTTCCTCTCTGGGCCGGCATGCCGTCAATCGAACTGAGGGCCATGGATCCTTAGTGTATCACGCAGGGGTGAAGTGTTTCTCCTAGCCTGTAGGGTTGACGACCCCAAGTGCTGGTGTTCTGCCCATGGGCTGTACTGACTTGCGTCACTTGTTGCTAACCACCTCCTGGCAACACCCGAGATCGCGACCCCTGGATTCAAGTTCTACTCACCTCCAAGGACCAAGGACTTACACGTCTTCCTGCTCTGCACGCTCGTGCTCCAGCACACACGCTCGATAGTTTGATGCTTTGAACCTACTCATTTCTCCTTCCACACGTTCTCTCTCTTCTCTCGCCTCGTTAGTGTCCCTCGGCTGCCTTCGAACGCGGCGTGGATCCTCGCCGCTGCGACAAAAAATCCTCCCCATTCCTCCGTCCTCCCCCTCCCGGGCGGGACGACCGCGCGGGCCCAAGCCAGCGGGCAGGCGGAAGCCCCGTTCGTCGCGGACCCGGGCTCACTGTCAGGACTTGCGGCGGGCAGCTGCAGGAGGAGTGGATGGGGAGGGGGAGGGGGAGAGGAGAAAGAGGACAGGGCCCGAGCTCTTCTTTTTCCTCTTTGTCCTCCTCTTCCTCCTCCTCCTCCTCCTCCTTCTCCCCCTCCTCGTCCTTCTCCCCCTCTTCGTCCTGATCCTCCTCGTGCGTTTCCTCCCCCGTCCCCTCATCCCCCTCCTTTGCTCAACCTCCTCCGCATCCTTCCTTTTCATCCTCCTCCTCTTCGCCTACTCCCCGGCAGGAGGGGAAGGAAGCGGGTGGAAATGAGGGTGGGCGATGGGGAGGTTGTTTTATGATAAGCGCTCTGAGTAAGAGGAGGAGGAGGAGGAGGAGGAGGAGGACAAATACGAAGAGGAGTAGCAGGCGCAGCAGCAGGAGGAGAGTTGCGGGGAGGGAAACACATGGTTGTTGATGCGTCTCGATTTTAGGGGAGGGTGGAGTGCGGGAGTTCGGATGAATTCTGCGTTTTTGCTTGCAAGTATTCCAGGGAGGATGGCGATGAAAAGGGGAAGGAGAGAACGGATGAGGAACAGGAGAACGATCATGCGAAGGGGGTGAGGAGGTGGAAGAGGTGGGACGGGGAGGAGGTGGACGAAAAGGCGGGGAGGAGGAGGGCGAGGGATAAGACGATTAAGGGATGATGTGGAGGACGGGTACAAGCAATGGCGCAGGAGCAGGAACAGTTTTTCCCGAATTTGTGTTTTGCTAGAAGGTTCTATGGAG